CAAAATAATGTCTTCGTAGAGCTAATTTCATCTTTACAATCTAAATGCCGTTTATGGCACACTACGGACCTACCTGCCGGCATTCTGATTAGCACAATGATAGCCATTTGTATTAGTGAGACATAATTTTATTGTTGGGAAAGATTGTGCGGATGTGCATATCAAATCTGTGTATGATTACTAATAATCTGAATTATCACAAGAGGATAAGGCAGATCGCGAGCATAGCAGCGACGTTGTCTACGCTTTTGGATACATTTATTCTACACCTGTAGTGGGCATTGCTGTAGTTGATTCTTAAAACGAGATAGCGAAAAGCGTTGGGCACGCCGCTCTTGCGTGGAAAGCGCGGAGTGCTCAACGCTTTTATGTTTGAGTGTGGCGATCTTGAAGGCGTGTTTTCACAGGCAAGGAGGATAAAGTCTTTGTTTAAGAATTCAGCTCGCTTCTGTTCATTGACAAGTAAAAGGTGAAGCCAAATCTAATAAATATCGGTGCTTCCATACTTTATAAGGATTTGCCGATTCCATTCAGGTTGAAAGCGCTTAAGATCGGCCAATCGGGATTGGCGCGGGCGGCAGCGGTGGAGTAAGCTCTGAGGTGTGTGGGCGAAACGCAAACGATTGTGAACTTCTGCCATTTTGTTTGCACCCCTTTATTAATCATGAATTGCATATCGACTCAATGCCTTTACTACTTTTAAACTCTTACAATAACTTCAAAGCCATGAAAGCGGCCTTACTAGCAGTTCAGAAATCCAAATATTCAAGAGAGATTCAATTTTGCTTTACATGAGAAGTTGCTATGAAACTTGATATATTTGCAAAGGAGAGAAAACGTATGAAAATTTATGTACGATCATAGCGAATCAAACTATAACTGAGTTTTTCAACCCTTCTGTCCATGAATCTCGCTGGCCCTCATGCCGCTTCCTCAAAACCCTTCGTTGCTTAGTGGAAGAAACAAGCCAAATCCTGAAGAAAAAAGTGCTGCATGATGAGAAGTTGGGTGGCTGTCTATTGTTACAGCACAACCGCACTGTATCTTCGGCTAAATCTTGTGAAGCACGGAGGAAGTAGTGTGAGTGGTACTGGAATATCTCGTTTTTTCATGGATCTGTACTCATTCTTTCGTGGATCCTCTAAAATTCAATCTCGTCTTTTGGAGAGTTCATCTTACACTTGTACCTGAAAAGGGAAGAAAAACGAGAATTTTTTGGATGTCATTTACTATCCTTCCCGTCTGCAAAGCATCTGACCTTCGAATTTCTCCTTCTCACTCAGAGGCGTCGCGCGTGCTGTGCCCTACCCGCGAGATCCCATATACGTCCGCAAACAATTGCGTCAAATTGGCACCGCAATAGATCTACCCGTTAAGGCAACTTCTAGGGTGAAATGCTTCTAAAAGCAAACTAGGC